AGCCAAATCCCGAGGAAGATACTGACGTGCGAGGACAAACTATATCCTCCTTCAAAACACAGATGACAGAACCAAAGGAAAAGACATATGGACTTGGTTTGGGAGAAATTTTTTAAAAATTATAAAATTGCGAAGAAACGGTAACTAGCGCCCCTCCTAGGTAAGGAATCCCACGCTGTGGATGGTATTCCAATCCTGTACTTGGACTTCACTGTGCCACATAAAACATCTCTGTCACTGCTGTTGCATAGGGTAGCATATTGTTCTCTAGAGCTGCTGTAATTCATATTAGCACAATAGGTAAGCTTCAGCTGAGGTTGTTGAGCAAGTAAATGTATGGCCAGGATATACTATAAATACCTTTCCTTTTATACCTCAGATCCTATTCTTCATGGTTAAAACCAAAAATAGACACCCGGGTTCACAGGGCCGTCACGTATCCGCCGGGCATGATTAACCATGTCCTCGCTCTCTGCTCACAGGAGGCTGAGTAGAGGCCTGAGAGGCGGGCTGAGGCATAGTAGAGCCAAATCCCGAGGAAGATACTGACGTGCGAGGACAAACTATATCCTCCTTCAAAACAGATGACAGAACCAAAGGAAAAGACATATGGACTTGGTTTGGGAGAAATTTTTTAAAAATTATAAAATTGCGAAGAAACGGTAACTAGCGCCCCTCCTAGGTAAGGAATCCCACGCTGTGGATGGTTCCGTGACTCCTCAGAGCACATGGCGGTGAGGGTGGGTGGACATCAGACGCCCCACTGCACTTGTGGACCTGCTTCCAGACCCTCAGGGTGCATCTGCCCATCATGCAGAGTAGCACGTGCTGTGAGGGGTCCAGGTGTCCACTGCCAACGTCCAGGAAGTCCCCTCAGCTCTCTACTTACATGTGTCAACGAATAAATTGTTGTAGCTTTGTACAGGAAAGGGCTCTCAGGAATCTTGTGTCCTTGGAAAACTCATCCTATGGGAAAGAACATGAAAATGCTGGAGTTCTGTTGTTGGAAAATTTACTAGTAATGGAATAAAAAGAGTTTCTAAGGACAGTCTATTTTGTCTTAGCACTAAATTCTCCTCTAAGCCAACCCCTGTAGATGCATGCAAGAACAACAACAACAAAAAAAAACCAGAAAATGAAACATTTGAAGCTAAATTTACTAAATATTAGTGAGAGATTGAAAGTAGCAGACTGCATCTCCTGGGAGAATAACCACAAGCTTCAGAGTGGAGGACAGCAGGGGGACATGAAGGACAGTGGCATGGGCCATGACCAGGATCCACCAATGAGGCAGAGACAGGACCATGAGCTACAGAAGGGCAGCCTTCCTTTTTTCCTTCTCTTCCCACTCTCTCGTGGTGACTAACCTCTGGGTTTTCTTCTTTGTCTCTTCAGCCGTTCATTTAACCAAGCACTGTTGAATGGCTGCAAGGTGCCAGAACTCAGGTAACCGCAGGGCGGGTGCTGCTGGACAATGTTCAAACCTCCTTGAAGGAAACTCACAAAGGCAAAGGCTTCTCTTTCCATCAGGATTCTGTTCCTACGAATCTACTTAGAACACCTACCACAATGGGAACAAGAATGGTTGTGAGCTGAAATTTGTTTAATTGTCTTGTATTCATGAGCTCTTCCTGCCTCCAAAATGCCCCAGGGAAATGGCTAGAGGAACTCCATTGTATCAGGGCACTGAACCAGTCTTTATAAATAACCCAGAAGGGTCGCCTACCCTGACCAGGGATTTCCTTCAGATGTCCCTCAGCCTCCAACACTGCTTGAGTGACTTTGGTGAACCAGGCTTGGGCCTGGGGAAGTGGGAGCACTTGACTTCTCAGGGGATGGAGTAAACCTGATAGGGCCATCATTGGCATGATGAGTCCGATTCAGCAACTCCCAGCTACTTGAGTGGTGGCTACATGTGGATGGAGCAAGTGCCCCCCCAAGGGAAGGTGCAATGCCCAGGGCCGTTACTAGGACTCTACTTCTTGTTCAGCCTAAATACTGGGGATTTAGTAAGGATCTGTGCTTCACACAGCTCACCCTGGGATAACACAAATAATACAAATGGTTTATAGCAAAAAAAAAAAAAAAAAAAAAAGTAAGATATTCTGAACATTCAAAAATGAGAGACAGAGACAAAGAGAGCCGGACAGGAGAGAAGAAGCTGATGCAGCCAGGGCCAGGAGAGAGTCCTTCAGGGCTGAGGGGGTGGGTTGCGGCTCAGCTGCCAGGTCAGGGAGTCACTGAGGACTGCCCTGCCCACTAAGAGAGAGAAGGAGAGGCCACGTCCAATTTCCCTTTCCTGGTCAGGCCTATCCACAGCACCCTCCTCATCGTACTTTCCCGATCCCGGAAATCTGCAGGAACCCACGTGCCTGGTGGTTACTAGCTCTCGCATCCTGCTCCCTCTGGGTCTTCCTCACCTGCACGGACGCACATTCACGGCTGTGAGCATGGATGTGGTTAGGACTAACGCGCCCGGGCAGTAGCCATATTTAGAGAAACTAGATTTGGTTCATTTTAAAACTGCTTTAAAAATGGATTATTCATTCTTTTTATATTGTGCTCCTATAAATACACACACACACACACACACACACACAATGGCACATTCAAACCCATGCACGTCTTCTCCTTCAGCGGGTGAGACAAAGATACCGAGACAAAAGGGACTGAAGTATCCAAGGGAACCGCCTTCCTCAACCTGGGGAGGGTGGCCACTCAGCCCCTCCGTCCCCTCAGACCTCCGCTCTGGCAAGCGCATGGGGCATTTGTGCAGCAGGCTGTCCTTTGTGTGGGGGAGGATTAGCATAATGTGCAGGCCATCGCCCAGCCCCCACCGTGAGCCCTGATCTTCTCCTGGAGAAACGGACTGAGCCTTGGCAGAACCGCAGTAACCAAGGGAGCAGGGCGCCCGTGCCATACCACAGCTGCCTCAGCACGGAAATGCATACCAGGGCAGTTATTTAACTTAGTTTTTATATGAATGTATATATACAAATCCCTGAGGTGTCCAGTAGAATGTCTTCCACACACGATTCCCTCTCACAGACTAGTAAACAAACAGAATCGTTGAATAACTATATTTTCCATGAAAATAATATCTGTTTCAATTCTAAGAGGTGCTGTGTTCTAGCAAACACCTGGTTAATTGGAACAGTGTGAACACGCACGACAGTTTGATCTGGAACCACTCTTTTAGTGAGCTTCCATTTCATTGTGCATAGTGTGTATGTGTGTGTGTGTGTGTGCATGTGTGCCCACATGTTTGTGCTGGATCCGGATGTAAAAATCTATGCAGATCATGGTGAAAGTAAGTTTGAGAGCACTGCCCTATACTATCCTGCCCTACTGCTCCTGTTTTCATTAACTGTGAAAGAAATGAAACTAAAGAGGCAGAAAAATTAAGATGAATGCCTTGTCGGCATTGCAGCTGGGAATGGGCTTTGTTCTAAGGGTGAACATGACGTTACAGAGCCCGCGATGCAAGCTCCATGTTGGATGGAGTAGTCTGGTTACAGAGTAGAGATAGCTTGCTATCTGTCAACCAGGGCCAGGTATCTGCCTCTGAGGGCCAGGTCCTGCCTTTTCTATTGTTCGGATGATGTACTGTGTATCTATTCTTTTCTATTGCTTGGTATCTGTCAACCAGGGCCTGAAGGTCCACTGCTGGTGGAAGTGAGCCCAGGTGTAACTTAGAACCATATAAGGAAGACTGAGCTTACTCAGTGTGTCAAAGACTATAAACATTTGTTTAATCAGTGGACATTTCTACAACAGCTACTGCACTACAAGAGTTGTTTTAAGTCCTGGAGAAATAAAGATTCGAACAATAACAGCCATGATAACGTCTGCGAGCATTTTATGAGGTGTAGTTATGAGTACTTTATATCTATTATCATTACAATTCTAGAAGGTAGCTGTTAGTGTTCTGTTTTATAGAATAGCAAACTAATCGATAGGCACAAGAAGGTTTAAACAACTTGTCCAAATTCAAGAGAAAGAGAAGCCAAACCACAGTTCGGGGTGGTGGGGGGGAAATATCCATAAAAGACATGTCTGACAAAGGACTATTAACAATGTTACTAAAAAATTGTCAAGGAGGGGTCAGCAGGTATCATGGTGGTTAAAGTACTGGACTCCCACATGACTGACTATGGTTCAAGTCATGGACCTGGTGGCTTGAAAATCAAGCTGGGGGGGTATAGGTATGTGCCCAAAATCTTGGGGAGAGAATGGAGGAGAAGGGATTGCAGTGTAGCCTTCCCCCTAGGGGGTGATTTCTCATTTTCTCTCTCTCTCTGTCTCTCTCCAGCAAATGAACATGCCCTATGGCAAACAAATAAATAGTCCAACGACCTTAACGCACAGTGCCATGAAAGATATATAGCTTACAACTAAACATTTTAAAAGATATTCTTTACCATACATAATTAGGGAAATGCAATTTAAGCCAACAATGAGATACTGCTACATTCCTAGAAAAATGGCTAATATTCAAAACATCGACAACACCAAATGTTGATGACGAAGTGAAGCCATAGGAACTCTCATCCACTATTGGTGGGAGTACAACATAGTGCAGCCATTTTGGAAATTTCTTATAAAACTAAACAAACTTCACACACAATATGACAATCAACTCCTTAGTATTTGCCCAAATGAGCTGAACACTTACATATACACAAAAACCTGCACAGAGATAATTTTAAGAGAATTATTCACAATTATCAACATTTGGAGACGATCAAGCTGTCCCTCAGTATATGAATGGAAAAATAAACTATAGTACATTCAGTCAGTGGAATGTTACTTTGCAATAAAAATAAATGAGTTATAAGACCATGAAAAGACCAGGATGAAACTTAGATACATATGACTAGGTGAAAAAAAGACAATCTGACAAGGATACATACTGTCCGACTCCAGTTATATGACATATTGGAAAAAGAAAAACTGTGGAGTCTGTGGAAGGTGCAGTAGTTTCCAGGGGCTAAGGGGAAATGGTAGAAGAGCAGGTGAAATACAGAGGTTATCTTCGACAGTTAAAAGTGTCCTGCATGGGGTCAGGAGGTGGCATGGTGGCTGAGGCGCTGGACTCCCATACGGCCAACTGTAGTTGGAGTTCTGGACCTAGCAGCTTAAAAATCACACTGGGCATGCAGGTGTGTGTGCCCAAGATCCCAGCAGGAGACTGGAAGAGAAGGGTTTGCAACATGGCCGTCTCCCCTGGGGGGTGATTTCTCACTTTTCCTCTTACTGTCTCTGCCTCGCTCCAGTGAGCATACACGTCCTATGGCAAAAAATAAAACCAAAAATCCTGTATGACAGGCCAGCCAATGGTGTGGTGATTAAATGCTGTGGTGGGGAAGGCAGCTAAATTCTACATAGCCTACTAGTGGACTGAGTCCTGCAGCCAGCGGCTTGAGCAATATGCTGGGTGTATGTGCATGCATACACCCCAAATCCCAAAAGAATGAAGGAGAAGGGATTGAGGCATAGCTACCCTCCCTGGTATGTGTGTGTGTGTGGGGGGGTGATTTCTCTTTCTCTCCCTCTCTCTTTGTGTCTCTCTGTGCTGAGTGCATGCGCCCTATAGCAGAACTAGGAAAGAAAAGTGTGACATTACTGTGATGGATGTGTGTCCTGCTGTGTGAGTCCAACCCTAAGGGTGAATCGTGCTGTGAATTGGCACGAGGTGAGAAGCTGTGCCAGTGCTGGCTTTCGGCGTCAGAACTGCTGGGTGGGGACAGTGGGAGTTGATGGTGAGGGGCGTTGCTCACGTGTGAGAATAGGGTGCATGAGGGGCTGCTATACTTTGCATTCAATTGCTGTGAGCCTAAAACTGCTCTAAAAATAAAGTCTATTCTGTTTACAAGAAGAATAAATACACAGTACATCATCCGAATAATAGAAAAAGGCAGGACCTGGCCCTCAGAGGCAGTGAGTTTGTAGAATTCTCTGGTCACTATCAACTGAAAGTCAAGACACGATATCAACCAAAACAAACAAAAAGACGTGGGAGCCAGAATTTCCGACCCAAATCTGAAGCAGAATACATCAGTGTTCACAAGATGAAAGCTGGGTCCTTTCAGACTCCAGTGGCACCTCCTCGATAATGCAACATGGAGGGCTTTAACCATCATTAAGAGAAATGGAATGGGATAGAATTGAACAGAAAATAGCTTGAATTGCATGTAATGAGGAGAGACACTTACCTGAGACACTCTGGTTTCTGCTTCTTGCATGTATCGCGTGTGGACTGGGTTGTGATGGAAAGCTGTGTGTTATAAAATAGGTCGCCGTCGGTGGGCTTTGGAGCCCATGCCCTGTGCCACCCGCTGCTCTGCCCCGCTTCGGTGGGTCACACCTCTAGTCCATGACTCCAAGAATAAGCAACTGAAAGGAGCAGGGAGGTCGTTTTAGCAACCGCAGGTGTGCTCTGATGAGCCAACCAGGACAATGGCATTCGCGAGTTGGTGGAGTGGCAGGGGGGGGGGGGGGGGGGGCGCCGAGGCCCCCAACCA